ATAAATTATGATTCAAAGAGGTATGTTATAGTTTTTAAAATAGATGAAAGTTATTTTGTGCGAGAAGAGACGAATTTATAAAGTGAAAGAAATGTTTATTTTAGAAAACATTTTCAACATTTCCTTTAAGAATACTGTTGTAAATTACAAGAAAGTTCTACAAACGTTTCTTATGTCCATCGAAGTGAAAGATATTTGTAGAGAAGCTATTATTTTAGTCGATTCATTGAACAAACAAGATAGATTAAGTATCAAAAAGTTTGTAGAGCAATTCTAGGAAAACGATGGTAGTTTCTGCTTACCGCAATTGTTACCTGAACGAAAAACTTCGCTCTCAAAAATAATAATTACAATGGTTTTGGACAAATTTTCTGCCTTTGAAACGCGTTAAAAATATTTTTTGTTAAGCTAACTACGAAACTATTTAGTTTGTAGTTCACGTACAAAAATGGTAGCTAAGAAAAATTTAAGAAACCAAAACAAACATCAAAGTAAAAAAAAGAGCTCGCGGCGCTGTAGAAACAACCCTACAGAACGTTTCTCGACACGAGTGTCCTTAAGGGATGTTGAATGTTCCTCCCAGTTCCCAACCTCACTATGTAGTTGAAAGGTAAACATTAAAACAATGTTTGCGTAGAAAAATATGTCTTAAATGATAAACAATAACAATTAACATCAAAAGTTTCTAGTCACTATAATAATTACGTTTTAAATATTAGATTAAGCTTGCAATATTAAAATTTTCTTTAAAGGACACTTTGTGAAATCAGTGTGGGTTATAGCTTCCTTTATCTGAAAAGAAAATCAAATATCTCAAACACGTGACCAAGGTCACACACCTTAACTCTACTGTTGCAATATGTCCAGAATTTCCTGGTTATCACCATATATAGTCGATACACCATACATATTGGATAAATATAGTATCAATATTGATGATTACTTCGTAAATTACGTATCTGTGTAAGAAAGGGATTACGTCTATTTATAAAGAGCCTCGTCTTAGTTATATGATACCAAAGTGATCAGTCATTTTTTTTTCTTGCAAATTCCGTTTTATAAATATACTCAACGCGCCCACTTACAGTTTGTTAAGTACGCCCACGCCGTATGCTGTGTGGGTGTAGATCGTCCTTTCATCAATGAAACTTCGGTTTGGCGTATAACAAAGAATTCTAAAGCCTTTAACTACTAGCTGATCATTAATTAAGTGCAGAAGAGTAAAGGATTTTTATCGAGGCAGTTGATTCTTTAAGAATACGAGACCCTGCAAAATCTTTTTACCAAGTTAAAAAGTATCTTTTAAAAATTTAAAGCGTGTTTGTGAGTATCAAACCTACGTGGTGTAGTCTTACGGTGTATATATTTGCATCTTTGCATATTCTGTGTAACAATACGAACCGACTGTTTGACAGCTCGGTGGTTCGCCGTGTAACGTGTTACATTACAAAGCGTAACCTCGGTCAGTACCTTTAGAATTTTAATGAAACAACGAACAAAGTACGTAAAAAAATTCTCGCCCATTTTACAAGCAAATAATAGCATGAAATATGATTTGAGACGTTTATGGCCGGATATGTGCGGCGGTTATTTATGAAATTGGATTAGATTTAATGGCTTGTTTACTGAAATGATCGTTGTTACATCTATATTAAAGTAAAGAAGGTTTTTAACAATGTATAATGTAAAAGAGGTAACTAATTATTGCAACAAAACCTTGGCAATTCTTTCGTATTTAGAATTCTAAAAGATATTTTCTTGCAAATTTTGGTAAACTCTTTCATTCGTAATGCGTTAAAACGTTTTCCTGTCCGCTCTTTGAATGCGAGCTTTTTGCGTATTTCGGTGAAATGTAAAAAGACCTCAGCCTAAATTTGTTTTTTTTATTATTTTCGACATTCTGTTCTGATTTATCGCTGCAATAAACATGTTTCTACAAATAAACACCGAAATAATTTGCTAACTAATCCATGAAGGTTGTAAGCTTTTTATTTAATTTTCGACACATCAATACATATTTACAGTAAAACTGTGCCAATCGTAAACTGAAAAACGTACAAAAGTCGGTTAATAGTAATTTGTTTTACTGACTTTATTTTTATTTAGCAAGTTATGACGTAATAATATGGCACTTTCTTATTTGAAACGGTAACACTATCCCGGTTATCGTGTTTCAGATAAAGTTTGCAAAAAATATCACTAGATGTCGTAACTTATGTTTACTTCTGACAATCTCATATTCTCACGATCCTCACTGCTTATAATTTTGTTATTTTATTACCTTCTGAGCTCGAGTATGCGGAACTTCGTTTGAGAAATGTTATTTTATTTGCGAAAACTACATCCAGTACGTAATGGTTTGAAAAGTATCACAAAGGACTCAAAACATCATAGCAGCGCCATCTATCGAAACCAAAAGAGCACGAAGGAAAATAAAAAGGCGCTACTACTTATCTAACTACATATATAAGTTAATAGCATTTAATTATACTGAAATAATTGAATATTGTTGTATAATAAATTCACCTTTGTGATAATACCACACGATCGGTCATAGACAAGATTGATTATGTCGTCTTTGAAAGAAATACACAAAGTCGAACAAAAAGTTGTCCTTGGCCTTCTAAAGCTTCGATTAAGTTGTACGATGAAATAACTCTAACGTTGGAATAATACATAATACACTATACAACAGTTATATCGAAAATACATTTTTAAAGTTTGCATGTATATGAATAAAGGACTACAAAACCTACTTCGTTTCTAAAACCATGGATATTTCATAGAACAATAGCGGAATATGTCCATTTTATTTTTTCAGCGATGAAATGGAAAAAATTGTGAAGGTAACGCCTTTGTCGGCTTTTGTCTTTTGATGTAATGTTATTAAAAAAATATGGGATAAAATAACATTTCAAATTTATTTTATGTATTTTCATTTATTTATTGGACAAAAACATAAATTGAAAAAATACAATAATAAAATGTTATAAGCGGTACAGAAACCTACAGGATTTATGTGTAACCACTGGTCGCTTAGTTTATAACATAAAAAATAATAATAAAGAAACTTAGACTATTTTACTTAAAAACATATTTTGCATAGTCTGTGTAAAAAAGCTAAAAATATTGCGATTTTATTAAACTACAGTCTACAATGTACAATGTTAAGCAACTTTAAAAGGTAATTTAAGCTGAGTTTACACTAATGATTTTCAATAAACCCGAGCTAAGCTTCGATAAACAATGTGCTATTAATTGATCGAATGCGATAGTTCTACGTTAATTAATAAACTTGTATAATGCTTTAACGATAATGGTGTAATACGACATTCAAGAAAATTGGAAAGATTAGCAGTTAAGAAAAATTATACGTAAAAAACAATGTGTCTTGTAGGGCTGCAAAAACGACTCGACAGAGACGTTTCTCGTCACAAGGGTCCTTAAGGGATGCTGAATGTTTGCTCATGCCTTTCTTAAGTTAGAAACACAGTAATTTTACGGTTGTTGCAAGAAATGTATGAAAATTTAACGATTTTTACAAAGATGTCCATGAACGAGAATTTTGAACCAAAATAAAAGAAATAAAATGTCGTTAAGTAAGAGTTGGAAAATTTTAATATGGATTGTTTTTATTATGTTGAGAAAAGCATTTATTTAAATTCTGTTTAGGAGGAACTGTTCACACGCATATCGAAGCCTCATTCCCATTCCCTTATCTAATCAAAAATACATTAGCGTACATGCAATACCACAACTTTGCCTTATTCGAAACTTCTGCTTATATTATTAAAGTCCAATGCTGCACAAATGTATACAGCGGTAAGGTCCGCAGCAGCATCAGCTGCAAGAATAGCCTGAACATTTTTGTTACCATCAAAAAGTCCATGTTGATTTTAACCTTTCTTATTTTCATGGTTAATACAAATTATTTATAAAATAAAATAAATCAAATATTCAATGACACCAAAAATAACATATCTAATAAGAATATACGAGTATATTTTCAGAATTTTCACAATTGAACAGTGTAGGACTGTCCCTTTTCTACCTAAGATTGTCAACCTAAGATACTTTGGATTTGAATGAGTATCATCATCATCATTATCATCATGAACCTTTGCCAAATGCCTTCTACAGCGATCCTTCGCCTTCAGTATCCAATGGTCATAATGTATGAGTATTATTGAACTAAACGCCTGTAATATTTTTATAGCAATAATCTTCGTAGTATCTTTCGATTGTTTTCTATTTCAATCAGAGAGTCAAAAGCAATCACTTGGTGTGATGACGCATTATATTGTGAATGTGAACGAGGGAGATCGTAACTTTAACGTTTATGTTCGTATTTCACGAGCCGCACGATAAATAGCATCACTTGGTCATATAACTGTTTGCAGGTGACAGAACATAGAATTAATTGCTTCCAGTAAAGAGCTAGTTGTGACAAGATGAAGTGTTAGAGTCGGGATTTTGGGACCTCAAATGATTTTTTTTATCGTTAGTTAATAGAGCAGGCACCTAAAATTAAAAAGACTATTTGCAATAACAGAATAACACAAATTGAATTATTGGTTGTACATAAAAAAATCCTACTACCTATTAACAAAACAATTCGCAGCTTTTACTATTTTCATAAGGTTTTATACACTCGCTTGGAAGTCTGGAACGAAACTTTTAGGTAGCAAAAAATTCTTGGTGCATTCGAGCTTTTGTGCAATTGCATTAATTATTACAAAGATGTAAAGTTTAGAGTCGAGTATTTTCATTTTAACAAAACTACAGACCGAAACTTTGTAGTTTTGTTTAAATAAAATATTTAACTTTAAAACTGCGGTGAAATATTAAGTTGTATTTATTTTGTACAATAATTTTATTTATTGTGTCAAATTCATTTTTAATTTTTCAATGTTGTTATCTTATTAGTTTTAAATTTCACTATCAGGTCAGCACTTAGTAAGATACGTGCTATATTAAAAATATATTTAAGTTTTACTCACCAGCAATAGCTCGTCCCAGCAGAAGAATGCTGAAGAAAATCGACAACAAGCGTTTGGTCCCCCGAGCCGCCATCTTGTTTTTTTCACACAACCAATATCAACTATCACTGCAAACCATTCCTAACTTACGCATACCACTGACTATCAGTTAAATAAACATTCTAAAATTGAACACATCGTCCAGTAACTTGTTCATTAATGTTCAACACATTTCTATATTTAAAAGTTGAACATTTTAATAACTAAGTGTATACTCGTATAATAGTTTCACTTTATTTAAAACGAAAATAATAGTCATCTACATTCATCATTCATTTATAGAAAAAATCCCATTACGCGCGGTTTACATTTGGCCATTTCAGTTAGCCAGTATCGCTCTAGAATTGGACTGTCAATCAACTGGCAGTGTGAACGTAAACTTGCACCAATGAGGCCATACAATCTATGACTGGCCGTCGCAACTGACCGACTGTACTCGCTAAGTGTGAACCGGCCTTGATCTTTACATCAGTTGCAATATTTTAACGGAATATTGCGAAGATGTTTGCATGTATTCCTTACAAGTATAATTTAATTAAATCATTAGTTATTCTTTACATAAAAAGGCGATGTACATCGTATTGATTGAGTTCTTCGTCGAAGGCAATCATGGTGGTGGTGATATACTCGGCAATTTCAATTTAACGTGACAGTAAGCGCATTATATGGGCAATAGAAACGGGCGTCGTAACTCGTTCGTTTATGTCGTATTTCACGTCCTACGCAGTAATAGCTTCACGTAGCAAGCGAAACCTTGGAAAGGATGGTACGAGGTGGGCATAGACTCAACGAGATAAATAATAAAAGTATTCGGAATTTATCACCTCCGCCATCTTGATTTATGACTCAGTTAATACTTGGTATTTTAAAAATCCAGGGATTACTGTTACACCAACATTAAGACTTTCGAAGTTCTCGTTAGCAAAAGTCGGGGAGATTTATTTCAAAATAAAAATAGTACTTTTTTACAGTATATCACTTCATTGTACATTTTTCAGTAATTATTTTTCATAAAACTATGTGGTTTAAACAAAGTAAAGATTAAGGCTATAGAATTAATATTTTTCCTTTAATTATAGACCTCTGGTAACTTTACAGACTCACGAAGACAACACATTTTACTTGTTTAGGTCTTTGCTTTTCTTTGTGATAAAAAAATATTTTTATCTTTGAAGTTATCTTATTACATTAAAATATGTGCGATTCTGACTTCTGGTAAAGTATAATTTAATAGTTTATTCTGTAAAACTTCTGTTTAACAAAAAAACTTCACGACCATTATGTTGACAAATCGCTTTGATGAAGCTTATGAATGGAACGGAATTTATTTCAGTTAATTTGATTTATTTCCCCCACTTCAGTCGGAGTCAAAAGCCCGTAACTTACAGCGCTATAATAAATCTGAACGTTTACTGATTTTCAAAATTTTCACCAATGTTTACTAAACTTTATGAGATAACGATCGTAATGTGACTTTTATTTAAAAAACAAACAGCTTATAAAGAAATAAAAAGAATAATTTCTCGCTAACTTTTAAGTAGACAGCATATCTTATTAAATTCGTTTCAATGAGCTTTTAAGCTTAAATATGATATTCCTTATTTATATTACTATTCTCCTGAAATCGTCTAGTTCTAGACTCTATGATACACGTAGCCTCATATAAAAATAAATATTGAAGGTCTTCTATGATACTAAATTATTCCTTTATGAAAACATCGTTGAAAAATATTTCCCGTATTATTTTCTTTCACATATTTCTATACCACTGTTTTATTCATAACGTGTAGGCAGTAGTTATTTTTCCGAGCGACTAAATGTGGGTAAAGTCCTTCGAAATTTCTCACAATCATTTAAATCTATTACGAATTTTAGAAGAAATAACACAAAATTTTAGTTTAAAATTGGAATATTCCGCATGTTGTTGGTTTTTTGGCTCAAAACTTTTGTTTTATGTTGGAAAATTGTTTATATACGATGTTGTATTTTAAAGATAAAAAATAATTTAAAGGATCTGGTATTTGTTTGAAAATCAGCGGTATTATCGCTACAAGATATCTCTTTCAGACAAGAGGCAAATGAAAGTAGTCAAGAAATACACTCAACCTTTTTTTCATTTAAGCGTATTTTTTAATTAATTGCAATGTATTAAAACACTTTTTGTACTGAATTTAGAATAAAGCCTGTTTTAATAATTCATGTTAATTCGCGAATAAAAAAGCTTTTTAAAATTCGGGCAATTTTATATTTTATCTTCGACGTATGAAAAATTTGTATGTTAGTAATTATTTGATTAAAAATTAAATAATACGTTTGATGAGAAAAGAATTAAATGTGTAATATAAGTTTGTATCTTTAACACTAATTCCTGAAAACTTACTACCGGAACTTAGTTCTAGCAGTTGGCCGGCGTAAATATATTTATTTCATACGCAATAAGTTAAAAATTAAACTATTTTGAGAATAAAATCACTGTATACGTTCACTTAAAAAAATGTTAATTTGGTAATCCAAAATTTTTACCACTTTTTAGATTTTTTCACAGAGCTTTTTTTATGCAAAAAGCTGTATAAGTTGCAAGCTTCACTTGTTGAGGTAGCGCGAGACACTTTGCCAACGTTCGCGCGCGCCACAGAGCGTGAGCGACTGCGCTTCCCGCCCATTCATTGTACAAGATCGACTTTACTACGACTTCTCGATCCGAACTAGTCTCACATCCAAAGAACATGTTTGTAAGTATATTTGGTCAATTTGATTCACTTGAACATTTAAAAATGTTTAAAAAGTTAGAGTTGATGTGCATAACTCTTTTTTAAACTAGTGTACAAGGTAGCGTATAACCTCAAAAAAATAGATTCATTTTGATTATGGGCTGTACTAAAAACTGTTTTATTATAACAGAATATTCACAATATGTTTGTGTTTATTTCCCTTTTCCACTATCAAAACAATTGAATAAAACATCCTCTTTATTCTTTAAAGTAAACGGAGACAACAATATTCATGTTTATAAACATTAAGATACTGTTATTAAGGTGATAGTAATCAATGTAAGGAACCTAATTTCGAGACCAGTTACACAATTAGTAGCGGAGTTTGGATCCATGCAGCGTATGTGTCAGTTTTGTATACTTTGACACAACTTGAGTAGGCATTACATACATACTACGAGTATACTCGTATATGTACATACGTTTTAGCGAAGAAGAGGTAATTAACTCAAGTAGAATTCAATTACCGTTGAGCTATGTTCTATGTATTATATTGTGGTCTTATTTTTTTTTTCTTTCTCCGATATACCGGTACGCCTTATCTCGAATTATAGCAAATTTACGCAACTGCAACTTGACAGTTCTACGAAATGATTTTTCAAGTAACTATAATCTGTAAGGTGTTTTTAATAGATTTATAAAACTGGTTATACGTTTTAAAGCATACTCCTTCTAATTTTTATTTTTAATGTTATTTATTAACGGAACGTGTAGAAAAAATTAGGAACGATTTAAATCTATTAACGTAAAAACTATTTAATGTATACTCTTGTGACGCTTACGAATCTTTGCTATGATATTTTGGCAGTGTCTTATGAATGAGTATAGCTGATACGGTGTTGGTATTCAGAGTACGTAGGCGTAGAAGGCGCAGAGATTTCCGCGATAGAGGACTCCCTTTATGAAGGTTGTTGTCTGAATACCCAAACGATTACATTCTCACTTGAGGTTTATGTAGACGGTATTTTTAGAAACTTCTTTTCTTGATTTTCCTTTTTAAACAATTCAGTTTTTCTTCATTGAACAAAATATTGCGTTTTATAAAATTACTAGATATTTTAAGTAAATGGCTATCGTTGAAGTTTTTTTTTAAGTTTTATTCATATATATTAATCTGAGATCAATAAATACTTCTTGCCAAGCCTAAACTATTCAAAAATATTTAGGATAAACTAAAATGAGTAGTGTTTTTATAACGCTAGTATTCAGAGATCCATTAATGGAACTCTACTGAGAAACCATTAATTTTCTTCACGGAAACATGAGTTGCATAAAATGTTATCTTTCAGTACACCTTAAGGTTGAATCAAGTCATGACCGCATCTTTTTAAAGGTACTTTTTGATATTCCGCAAATTTATTTAACGCTAAGAAACAAAAATGTAACTCACGCTTTTTGTTATCTTTTTACGTTTGAATATTATTTATATTGCAATCCTATTACCCTACAATACAATGAATTGGTATGTAAATAAAACGTAAGTGGTTTATAATAATTTATTAATATTACGAGTAAACTTAACTAGTATCACACGACCACGTTTGACCAAATCTTTTTAATCATATCCGAAGCCTTTTCTCCAATCATCAGTGCCGGAGCAGTCATGTGCCCGCTGACTGTACGTGGCAATACACTTAAATCTACAACTCTAAGTCCATCTACTCCATATACTCTTAATTCAGGATCGACCACAGCCTCAGGATCACTAGGAGGTCCCATCTTACATGTACCTACGTGATGGTGTAGGGACACCATCATAGTTCTAATAGCACATTCCCAATATGAATCAGAACCAGGACTATGGTTGTGGCAATTCGGATATGGTGGCAAATATAGCTGGGCACCATATTTCTTAAATGGTTCCGACTCGCCCAACTTAATTACATATTTAACAGCCTCTTTCATTGTCTCCATATCATGTGGATCTGTGAAATAGTTTCCGTATAATTTAGGATGCGAGAATGGATCGTTATCCCGAAGCTCGAGGCATCCTTTGGACTTCGGATGAAGGAGTATCGGAACAGCGGACCAAGTGTCACAACCGTGGAGACCGCTGAATGCTGTCACGTATGTCTTGTCTGATATTTTCAAACTTT